TGTGTGTGTGTGTGTGTGTGTGTGTGTGTGTGTGTGTGTGTGTATGTGTGTAACTATTCACAAGCATGAAATGGCTGAAGAAGCATGTTGGATGTCACTCTCCACATTACCCCCTTGGGATAGGGTCTCTCACTGAACCTGAAGTTGACGTTTTCGTCTGAACTACCTGGCCAGTGAGCTTGTCTCTCCCCTCAACACTGGGGTAATAGACACAAGTGGAAATGCCTGGCTTTTAGGTGGGTACCAGGGATTTGAACTCAGGTCTTCATGCTTGCATAGCAAGCACTCTTACCCACCTAGCCATCTCCCCAGCCCATGAAGACGCATCTTTAAGTTGGTGGTCAGAAGGAGTTACCATTGCGTCTGCATGGTGCTGCACACCTGCATTCCCAGCACTTGGAAGGTCCAAGCAAGAGAATTACTACTTCAGAGTCAATCTGGGCTACATGGTCAGACTGTCACAAAAAAGCAAAGGTTTCAGTGAGTAACAAGGGTACTGGCCTTAGTCTGTTTTGCTGTGAAGGATTTTGTACTGGGCCCCCAGACCTCAGCACAACTGACACCATGTTAGAGGCACCAAGACACCAGTCTGACCTAAGAGCCCAGCACGTAAGACCCCAACACTTGCCCAAACAAAGACCCAGTCTATCATAGTCCATAGTTCTGGGCAAGTCCCTCAATGTACAAACCTTGCTTTGTGGCTTCTATAGCTCCCTTTATTGCTGACTGTTCTTAGAAATTGAAGCGCAAGAACCAGGGTCTGTTTTTGTGCAGAAAAGGCAAGACTGATAAGGCACGCGGTAGGCTACACAAGTCGGGAAAGTTCCCTCGGTAGCCTTCTGGTCTGTGAGTAAAGACTATTTCTATTGGCTTTAAGAGTCCACGTGTTCTCAGGTGGTGTTACATGGCAACAATGTAAACTCTCCATCTGTACCCAGCTCCTGGGAATGAGAAGAAGGGCAGACAGGCAGGACTCACTTCTCCATCTCTAAGCTCTGCTGTGAGCCCTTTCCCAGCTCAGTCACCCTGTGAGGCAGGCGCACTCTCTCCTGGAACATTCACGACAGCTTTTCATGCTTACTGTAAGCTGTGAGAAAATTTCGAGTGTCTTCACGTAGCTCACATCCCTGGTAAAATGAGCCCTCGCTGGCTGCCAAAACCACAGTGATGGGCGCCACAGTTTGAGGGACTGCGGTGTCACCACATGGAGAGGGACACAGAAGTGGAGCCAGCCCCTTGAGCAGGTCTTCTGCTTGGCGTGCATTTGTGGCGTGCATTTGTGGCGTACCGAACTCTCTCCCGGTAGGCGGCATCGGCCCACGGTTGCTTCACAGACGCTTTTACACCTGTGTTATCTCTACACAGAAAATTATGCATGATGCCATCGGCTTCAGGAACACGCTGACAGGCAAGAACTACACAATAGAATGGTATGAGCTTTTTCAGCTTGGCAACTGTACCTTTCCTCACCTCCGACCCGAAATGGACGCTCCGTTCTGGTGTAACCAAGGAGCGGCCTGCTTTTTTGAAGGAATTGATGATCAACACTGGAAGGAAAATGGGACATTAGCTGTAGTCGCGACCATGTCTGGTAAGTTTCAAAAATGAAATACTGTTTGATGATTCCACCAATAGGCAAGTGGAAGATTTCATTCACTCGCTGAATTTCAGTCACATTCTGCCTCATGGTGATCATTTGTAGTCTAAGTTTCTGGTACCGTTACACCTTGAACCAAATGGATCCTGATGCTGAGCCTTGCTAGGAGATGCAGAGCTCATCTTCTGCTCTGTCCATGATAAACATGAATAAAACAAATGCTGTGTATAGCTAAATTGAAATCCAAATAAACAACAGATTCGGGATCCATAAAAGGCCCCATTAGGAAGGCCCATAAACTATATCTGAAAAAAAGTGGTGGCTATAAATTATTTTTAGGTGGAGAAATAATTAAGGGTTTGCTTCTTCTGAGTCTGGCCCTGTTCTGAATGCTATTAGAGCACGCCCCTTACCAGCATCACAGATGCTGAGGGTCATTACCATTTTCTCCATTGTGCAGATGGGGGAAACTGAGATACAGATTAAAGCTGTCCAGGTAGTAATAGGACTCCAGCCCCAATAGGAAAGCCCTACAGGCCATTCTCTTAACAATTTTGGTACACTGCCTCCCCAGAAATATATGTTCCAATACATTTCAAGCCCCCTTGAGCGATGTTTAAGTGTTCATCTGGAAAGTTGGCAACACAATTGTAATTTTGCATTTGCTGCATTCTGCATTGTTGATTCTTTTATCATGGGAACTTTTTTTGGTCAGTTGCTAATTATGTGACCTTGGGTGACATCTACCTTACTGGCCCATTGCCTCTCGTGGAGAATTCAGGGCCTGCTCATACTATGTATAAACCCTATTTTCTGCATGGTGGTTGTCCACAAAAGCAGAGCGCTAAAATGAACTTGTTATTTGTGATGCTGATTAGCCCACAAGCCCCAGGGCTTGAGGAACTGATCAGAGCTTCTATTTGTTAGTTTGTACACAACATGTGTTAACTTTAAGGTGTGTTAACTCCTAATCCAGTGGAGGAGGGTAAGCCCTCCCTTGGTTTTCACAGGTAAGGAACTGTTGTTACAGGTTGAGTTTAGCCGGTGATGTGACCGACACTTGCAGTCACAGAGCTGGATGGAACAGGCCACGTCTCTAGTTGAGGTCTTCTAAATGTAACCTGCAGTCTTTTAACAAACACTGCTTTTCTAATCTTTCCTTCTGCTTTCTAATGCAAGGGACCCCAATATCCCCACTATGAAAGCCTTCTCTTTCAGCAGTACTCAGTGGGTTTTACATCCCAAGCCAGTTCACACCTTCCTCTCTCCTCACATAAGCTGACAATCATGAAACAGTGATCACTCGTCTGTAAAATGCTTCCATTTGCCAGAATTTTAAGCTTGTCAATTCATTCTTCATCTTGCCTATGATTAATGCTGCCCCAGGATCTTTTCTGGATGTTATGACAAAATGTTTGCAAGTCTAGATTTTTCAAGTTGCTTACTAAGAACCATGCCTCCAATTCTAACGTGGACGTTATAGCATTGTAGCTTTATTTCCCTAAAAGTAGAAAAGGCACCCAGTGATTCCCTTGACAGACTTGCTGTTTATATCATGAACCTAGGCTAGTGTTACCCAGGAAAGGTTTGCTGGTAGTGAGATTTGGGGGCCTACATCTGTCGTGTCTAAATGTGCCCAGATGAGGGTTGTACCGTGCAGAAGAGCAGCATTCTCTAAGTATTTGGAGATTCTTCTGATTTAGTGCAAGATGGAGTAGCTCTTGTTTAGCCACCCAGGAGTCTGTGAAGTCAGTGAATCTCGCAGTCAGTGGCCAGTTTGGTTGACTGGTTAATTTGTGTGGTAGGTAGTCAGCCGTATCCCAGCAACCACAATACAAGGTGAAAGGGAATAGCTAGTATTCACATAGATGAGAGGCCGCATGTAGCTTAGGCAGGAGCTACTGCACCTCAGCCGCCATGCCTGCTAAGCATCCCATGCTCTTTGCCAGTTCATCCGTTTGTCCTTCTCTTGTTCTTACACCGTCTTTGTCTTTCACCTTTCCTTCTTCCAGTTCTTGCCTCCTGTTTCTTGTTTGCTTCTGAATCCAAGGCTTGCTGAAAACAGAAACATGGCTACAGCCTATGTGTATTCATACTCTTGACTATCACAGTGACCATAGCCTAACCGTACAATTTGAAGAGTTCTATTTATATCCCCATTATGTCTTGTATATTTGCAATTCAAAGGCCTTGAAGAATGGAAGAAAATGTAGCTAAGCTTGCATTCCTGCTGTGGGATCCAGGCTTTGAAGTTTTACAGTATTTCTTATTCATTCATCCTGGTCTTAACTGGGTCTCAGAACATTTTATAAGCAGTTGATTTTGTTGCTTTTCTTAAACTAGGAAACACATTTAACAAAATGGCAGAGTGGGTGAAGCAGGACAATGAAACAGGGATTTATTATGAGACATGGACGGTCCAGGCCAGCCCAGGAAAAGGGGTGGAGACGTGGTTTGAATCCTACGACTGTTCGAAATTTGTGTTAAGGACGTATGAGAAATTGGCTGAATTTGGAGCAGAATTCAAGAAGATAGAAACAAACTATACAAGAGTATTTCTTTACAGTGGAGAACCTACTTATTTGGGAAATGAAACATCTATTTTTGGGCCAAAAGGAAACAAGACTCTCGCTTCAGTCATAAAAAAATTTTATGACCCCTTCAAACCACGTTTGTCAACCAAAGAATTTCTGTGGAGTCTCTTGAAAGTTTTTGATTCAGTGATTATGCACAGAGAGTTCTACCTGTTTTATAACTTTGAATATTGGTTCCTACCTATGAAATTCCCCTTTGTCAAAATAACATACGAGGAAATCCCTTTGCCTACCAGACGTCCACCCCCTGACTCGTGACACGTTCACTCCACTGCTCTCTCCAGCCACCCGCACCCATTTTCTTCCAGGGCTGTTTTTACACTTGTGTCTATTCCCACTTTTCCTCCTTGGGGCAGGAGGGTGACATGCTTGCTCCTTGTTGGAAGTACAGTACACTGACTGGCATTTCAAGACTCTTGGAAAGAAGCGGAAACCATCATTGTAGTGGCCAAAGTGTTCGAATGCGTTGAGATCTCGATCTTATGGAGAATTGGTTGATCTCAGCTATGGAGGTCTTGATCCCAATGCTGACATTTTTCTGGGGTTCCCTTTTCTGGTACAGTAGTGCTGCTTCTTAGTTGAAGGGCTTTTTGGTTATCTAAAGAATAGTTATTTTTATAGTTATTACAACGTTGGGGTCCAGGTCTAGTCGGCTGCTTTCTATTCACATAACCTTAAGGACTTGTTTGGACTCCACTGCTGGAGCAGTGTGTCTGGACATGGTAAATACAGTATTAAAGAGCAGATTTTCTGGCCACCAATTCAGAATCGGCTGGCAACTAGCTGGCCACTGGCCATTATGATATAAGCAACCCGTACTACTTAAAACCTGTAGATCTGTGTCTTTGCCTCTAAAATGATTCATCTTCTGGGAATGTGGAGATTGAGGGCACCTATGTTGGCACAGGAAGGGCACACTGAATGCATATATGAACTCAGGACTGTTGGGATTAAAAAAGCACAAGCTGTCATGATCTTGCCTGCTGTAGATTACAGGCTGTCAGTTCCTGTGTCTTGGAATCACTGAGACTTTGAGCTGACAGTACATAGTGCTTCAGCAGTTTTTCAGTACAGGTCATCGGAGTATCTGGCTGCAGACATGGCTAGGTGAAATGTACTTCTGACTTCCTGTGTGTGCCCTCTGGTTCTTCACCCACTAACAAGGCTAGCATAGTAGAAGAGGGTACACTTTCCTGGAAAGGATAGGATTTTGTCAAGGACCTTCAATTCACTATGCTTGTATTAGGGGCATTAGACAAGCTCTTAAGGTCCTGTATTTATCAGCTGAACCCATTTTTTTTTCTTTTGTTCTTTTCCCCATTCATAAATCACACTAGCACAATAATGGAAAAAAGTCTGTTTAATATGCAAATGATACTCAATTTCACCTTTAGTGCTTCTTGAGAGGTTAGTACACTATTGTTGAGCTGTCATAAAAAGCCTCATCGTACATATCTGCTGGCCCAGATGTGTTAAGTCAGGGCTTAGCAAGGTTAAGTGACCTGGAATTGTGTTTTCACTCAAGTTATGCAAAATGATGATTCACTGGCTGCTTTTCAGCAGTATTCAGATTGTGGCCTTTAGACCAGTATCTGTGCACCAAATGTTACCGGTCTGTTATTTCTGTTCAGTCTAATAAAAACAAATGACAAAAACCAGGGCTTGAACTTTGTATCTTTGCTCTTATTGGTCTAGGAATTTACATTTTGTTGTTTAAAAGTATAAGCCCGGCAAAGTCAGAGTGACCCCAGATGACTAGCATCCTGTATTGCACTGTTCTGCCTACCACAGAGGTAGACTTGTCCTCACAGAGGGAACGGCTTTCCACTGCCTCCAGTTTATGTACTCACTGTTACAGTGCCAAAGCCAACCCAAAAACGTTGCCTCTTTGACCTGATTGTCTTCAGAATGTGGTATAAGAACCTTCACATTACTAAGTAGTAATCTTCACATTACTACCATCCAGTGGCTAAACTCAGGTAACACTACACCACATCGAGTTACTCCCAGCTGCCCTGAGGTGACAAGCAAAGATTCTTGTATGCAGTATGGCATTTTAAATCACAGACTTTGGTTTGTAGCACAGGGGGCAGGGGACATGCACATGGAACTTGACTTCTAAAACAAGGTTCTACTGTGTTTAAAAAAAAAAAAAAAAGCAAGCATTCTGGGTCTTTGATTGTGGAGATTAGTAAATGAAGAAAGCCCGTGAAAGTACTATAGAGTGAGGTGGCGATGGCAGAGAGGCGTAATTCACGTGATCTCCCAAGACTTGATCAAGCTGTGAAATGTGTTTGTCAAGTGAAAGATAACTTTGAGGTAGAGATGACTCAGAGCATTCTTTGAAATAGTTATCACAATGATATAGGGAAAATGGAATGTCTGATTTTGAAGGCGGCTTTCTGTACTGCTTCGGGTGGGCTTTAAAATTGCAGGGCCTGAACCTCATGGTCACAGAAAATCTCTACTGAGTCAGTGGCCTCTGGGTTCTTGTATATAAACCCAAATGCAATTCATAGGCAACAAGAGGATGAGTTTAGAAAGCAGTTTTATTATAGATTGATAGGTGGGAGCTTAAAAGGAGGCAGAGTTCCTGTGTAGCAGGGTAGATGCTGGGAAATGGGATTACAGGAACTGCTGCTAGTCTAAGCTTTTTATTGTTGTTGCAGCAGAAAAATGGAGGGTGGGGAAGGGAGGAGCCAGACAGTTGGCTCAACCATGAAACGGTCCAGGCATGCTCATTAGGGGGAGATGAGCCTCCCTTCTCGTATCCCTAGCTTTGGCAAGGTCAGAACTGTGCAGCAGGCCAATGACATGTTCAGATTTTAAGTCAAGGAAAATATTTACTTTTGGGGTCTCCTACCCTAAACTGCCTGGCCAGTTTCTTTCTTGATTGCTCTCATCAAAAACAGGGATCTATGAATTGAATTTTGTGACCATTTGAGTTATATGTTTCTATTTCTATGTCAGTTCAAGTTACAAATGTGGAGTGTTTCTTTTAAGAGAAGCTCTATGTTAAAGGTTGAATATTAGTGATTCAGAATAAATATATTCTCAGCCATTAATCTAACAAAATAACAGGTTAACTATCTATGGTTGCAGACAGAAGAGAACAGCTAAAACATGAAATAATTACAATCAGCACTCAGAACTTGTACTCAATAATGGTTCCTTAGAAGAATCAGAAGGAGAAAGTGACAAGTCTCTAATACCTGGGTCAAAGGGCTGAGAGTTAACAGTTGAGTGCTCAGTAAGCTTCGGTGGGACGTGGCTGCTGCATTCACGAATTCACAGCACCTCGATTTGTCTGCCCTAGGTGAGGTGGTCAACACTCCACCAGGATGGGGATGGAGCTCGGGAGGCCACACCCCTTTCTAATAAACTACTGGCAGTTTGCTGGGCAATAGGAGTCATTTTTTCCAGTGGTAGTGCCACTAATTAGCTGCCCATGCTTCAGTAACCTCCCATCCTGCTCATGCACGCAATCTCCAGTTAAACTCAGTGGGTCCCCCCCAAAAAAGACATGAAAGTAGAAGAAAAACTTGCTGAGGAGAAGGGGGTTCAGCAAGAGTGGAAGACAGAGTAACTGGGAGTGAAAATGACCAAAATACATTACATACATAGAGGAAATTGTTTAGGAATAAAAATAAAAATACATTCTTTAGTTTCTCTAAGGTGAAAGTGTGTTTGGTGGTATACTGAATTTAACCCAGGCTCTCACACATAGAAGTGAAGTGTACTACCACTGAGCTATTCTATCTTTACAGCCTCCTTTAACTTTGTGAGATGAAGTCTAAGTTGCCAGGCTGGCCTTCTACTGGAAGCGTGAGTGGGCCTTGAACTGCAATCCTCTGGCTTAGCCTTCTAATAGCTTAAAGGTCTGTTGCACCACAACCAGCCAACTTTTTAAAACAAACACACTTTTATTCACCAGGTAGCTTCATGCTCTTCCAAGTGCCTTCAAGAGTTTCTTCCCTGTTGAAACACTTTTAGGTATTTATACTTTGGGGGGCTGATTATTAATTTCAGGAATAAGCTTTCAGGCTCTGAGGAGTATTTTCTTAAAGGAGTTTGTGGCCAGCAGACAGGTAGGGCTTTTAATATTAAAACTGGTCTCAAATATAAACAGGTTTTGCACAAATAGGTTGCATTAATTTATTTACTGTTTATCAGGGCCTATTTTTAAGATTTTTAAAAAATATATATTTAAATAAGTTAGATTACCATACCAGATTGGACCCGTTTTCTGAAACCTACTGAAGATAGTAGATTAAAATAATTTCTATGATTTAAAAACTATTCTGACTTACATAGATTTCTAATATGACTGGCTATCTTAATGGAAACTCTTTAAAAACATCTATTCTTATGTTTTAATTGTGTGTGGGGGTCTGGGAGTGTGTATGCGTAGTGAATGCAGCTGCCCATGGAGGCCAGAGCTATCAGATCTCCAGGAACTAGATGTGGTGCTGAAACTGCCAACAACAGTATTCACCAGCTTTCAGCCACTGAGCCATCTCCTAGACCCCGAGAGTCACATTTCTAAGTAGAGTATAGCTTTCATTCTGAATACATAAAGAACCTAGCCCCTATTTCTAATCAGGAATCATTTTCATGGTAAATTTCATAGTTATTAGAGCATAAGAACAAATTCAATGTGCCTAATTTTGTCTCTTCATACAAGCCAGTCTAACACTGTGTTTACTCATCAAATAATAGATGTGAAGCTATAATCATACTTTGTAATGTATGTTTGATTAGTTTTTAGTTATAAAAATACAACAGCATTAGTAACTATCTTTATTCTCAAATTGATAAAACCATTTAACATATATTTTACAGTATAAACAAATTAAGTGCTATGCATTTTGCTTATAAAGTGACTTAAAGTATTCAAGCATGTAATTCAATTTGTACAAAAAGTAAGTTTTCAAATAAAGCTTTGGTTAGTAAAACTGATTATATACTGTCAAATCCATTTTCCAAAATTGTTAAAAATAAAATAAAATAAAAAAAATCTAGCACAAGTATTTCCTGTATAGCCAAAATTTCTTACTATTTAGTAAGAGGGAAATATTCTAATAGTTGCTTTTAATGTTGAGCTCTGGCCAGTCTTTTTCTTCTCATCTACATGTGCCTGAAAGAATACCATCACTTTTGAAAAGCATAAATTGTATAGAAAGCCACATTCTGTTTTATTCTCAGGAAGTTCATCTGTTTTTAAGACTGTTAGCTTCCACAACTGTCAGGGTACTTTCTGAAAGTCACACTACTCCAGAGAGCCATTTCAGGTACTGAAGCACTCTGCTGAGGTGAGTCACTTCTCACCTCTCTCAGGAGACACACCTACTGCACTAGTGCTCAGAATCCAAGCTCATACAGTATCCGGAAAAAAAACTATATATAACCAAAACTTAGTACTTTTTACTCTACCAAGTCTAGAATTTACCTTTACTCATATGAAAGTAATATGAAAAGCTACATAACTTAAATAATATAAAATACCAGTTTCAACCAAATTAACAATCACAATACTGCAGATATTTTTCTATTAAAATGTTCCAGTTCACTGAGTAACTTACTCAAAAATTATGAACTTATATATATATATATTCTTTTAAATTTAGTGTTTCTGAACTGTACAGATACTCCTTTTGATTTTTAAAGTTGTATTTATTGTAGCTATGTAATTCCGAAATTAAAGCATAAGCTATCACTAAAATTCACTGTAGATTAATATTCTTTCACGAAAACTGTTCATAAACAATTTATAAAGTTCTACTTTTAATTATTTCAGTTTGGTTTTTAAGTAGGATTTTCATTTAAATTGTGTTAATAGTTAAAACTAGTTTAAACAAAGATTTTTTAAAATGGAGATAAAGCATTCCTTTACATACAATGCTTCAGGCACCACAAACATTAGTAATATAACAGAAAAGAACTCACATGGTTTTAGCATATTACACAGAAAACCTAAGGTTCATACAGAGCTAAATACTACCTCTCTTCTATTCCACTGGTTCATTTAGTTGATCCTGGCTGTGTGTGCCATCCTTAATAACCACTGCAACATTTATCAGTGTTCTAAGAACTCTGATATTTATATCTTAATTTTCAAAACAGCTTCATAACATTTGAAAACATTCAACCAACCTCTTATGAGCTATATCATACATTTCTCTCACAAAATGCTCACTTTCCTGAGCTATATTAAACACCTTATAACAGGTGTATTTATAACTGAAGACCCTAAAATGTCAAGTTTACATTTTTTAAAAAAATGCATAGAGAACATTTCAGAAAACCTATTAGTATACTTCTTAGATATTACAATATACAGATTGTTTCCTTCAGACTATGAACAATCTCATTTTCAGAACTGGATATTACTTTCAAATATGAAACATTTTCTTTTAATTTTTAAACATTTGATTGCGATTAGGCTACAAAAAGGAGTTACCTGACCCAAATTGTAGGTCTTCCAACAAACATCATTCATTAAAGGCTCAAAGATACCAAATGTCTGTGCCACAAAATAGTAGAAATTACATCAGAACTAGAGCAAATAAACTTTTATTATAATACATTTTCTTAAAATTAAGGTGCTGTTTATTCACCATGCCCTATATCATGCAAACCTTACCAAGTAGGCATC